GTAACATGTCTATAAAGATTTGCAATGACATTTCCAAATGGTTATTATTTTAAGTAAGCTTAATGCCTCTTAAATGTTTTTGTGCCTTTTATGCTTTTTTCTCTCCCCCTGGCTCTTATTGGATAGTATTATTTATGTTTTTTGTCTTATTGTGAATGAATGTCTTGCACTTATGTTGATAAGTTGATGATATCCTCACCGAGCTTTTGTATGTTATAAAAATGTTCAATAAAACATTTATATAAAAAATAAAATTAAAAAAAGTTCCTCTCCACGGGCTGCGGAAGCGAAATGCTTGATGGGAAACGAAACGACTCGCTGGTATCTCGAGCTGAGCGCTCATTGGTGGTTTTTACCCCGTGCTGGTGATGAAACTTTCCAATTGGCTCGGCAAAAGTTTGTTGTTGTTTGGTGTCAGTTTTACGTTGCCACTTCCATTCACATTTTTCATCATTGTTCCACAATGTTTATCATCATGAAATTAATATCTATATATGTTATACTATACTTGCACTGCTTACCGTTTTCATACTTTATATATCTTAGCATATTCATACACACTGTTCATACTGCTCACAGGCTGCTGTGTATATCTAGTGTATTCATACCCCTCACTGTTTATTCATCATTCACTTCATTCTATCTTTTATTCTGTAGATTGTGTACATTACTTTTCACTTTACTGCTTGTTGAACTCCTGGTTGGAAGCTAAACTGCATTTCGTTGTCTCAGTACCTGTAATATGTGCAATAACAATAAAGTTGAATCTAATCTTGAGCAGGAAAAAATGTATTTACTTAGTACATATCTGACATTAACGATTAAACACATTTGTGCATTCTTTATAAATGCAAACCGAGTCAAGCCGACTCCGGAGGTGGCGGTATGCACCTTAAAGTTGTTTGTAATCCGCCAAAAAAACGAGAGAAGAAGAAGAAGAAGCCAACTCCGAGCTGTCCGACTTCAGGCTTCAGGCGAGCTTTTTGAGACCTCCCCCGGCTGCGATCGGCTATTCTAGTCTACTTTCGAGGCGAGCCGCAGCTCGTCTCAAACAAGCCTACTTTCTTTACAGAGCCCCTCCTCCAACACACACGAACGCGCACATGACCAATGAGGGCACGAGATCAGTTTGTGCACAGATGGAAGGCTGACAGGCAGGTAGGCCATCCAGTTATTTTAGCCGGGCCGGCTCAGATTGGTCGTGCTTTTTACAGCGCCACGGCTTCCATAACGTATTTATTTTCAAAGCACTTAAGATATTCATTGCTATCGGGATGTTAAGAGCATTCCGTGGAATATAACAAAAAGTGTATCTCGAGCCGGTTTCTCAAACTTACCTACCCCACCTTTAAAGTAAAAGTGTTATTTTCTTCAGTAAAACATTCAATTACTTTTTCCTTTCTTTGAGCTAAAATAACCGGCTGCTGGCTGTAGCTACCTATTTAATGGACAGATATGGTTCATTTACGCCAAAAATGACATTTATGGCTCGCCACAAGGGTCTAGGATAACATTGTGGACCATAAAAAAAAAACGTACTTTTATAATATTTAACGTTGTTTCTATTGAATGGCACTATAGGGAAAAAAGAGTTCCCATTTCTCATGTTTTATGCTATTTGAAATCATCAAAGTAAAATAAAATGCACAAAGGAATACATAGCCAAGTCTTAAAAGTGTGTGTGTGTCTGATTGTGTAATTACCTTTTTATATACAGTCTATGGTAATTACAGGTAGGCCTATATACTTCACTGCAGGCTGCTTCATCTTTTAATAATTCATTTTAAAAGCAGGTGAATATTTACATTCCACAGATTTTGTGTTTACCTCAACTCTTTGGTTTCTCTCTTGGAATGAATGATTCAAGGCTGATGAAACCGCTGTTCACTGTATGCAAGGTAGCACAATGGCGTTAACGGCGAGACTGTTTCCCTTCAAACGTTAACATCCCGCGTACCATGAGTGTGACATCAATATTTAATAAAAGCATAGCCTTAGAATTGTACTTTTGAAATTTGAGAGGCTATTTGATCTTTTAGACAAATGTAACATTCCGGGAACAAAGGCTTTGTAGTTTCATCACAAATCATAGCTGTGTCTTTACAGAGTTGGATGTGCAGTTGAGAACTTTCAAAGCTCAAATAATGGCTGAATAAAACGGAACAGAAAAGGAAAACACCAGTTGCGTGGTGCGGGGATGTTAGCTCTTAAGGTCTGTTTTCTGTTTAAATGTGCCTCATTGAGATACAAGAAAAGCATTTGGGCAAGTAAACTTCAAAAAGAAAACGCCATCAATGCATGAGTTCATGTCATTTCCAGGAAACATGGGAACAGAACATTAAAAGTGAAATTAAGTTGTTAGTAAGTTCAAACCTCGCCTCATGGATTTCTTGAAGTTGTTATTTTTTTCTGGATGACGTTAATAACTATTAGTCCTGTATATGAAAGGGATGTTCATTGCTTTTGAAGAGTAAATCAACTCTAAGCGATAATACGGCTATTACTTTTTTCAGAAAATTATGGTTTGATTAAATAAGCCCTCACACTTAATTTGTTCTATCTCGGTCTATTCATTTGCGTTACATGTCATTGCCTCCAGAAAATTACAGTTTTGGATCACTTGACCTTTCTTAACTCTTACTGTAGCATGCAGCTATTTTTACTATAACCATATCTGAAATGGTTCTTGGCACATTTTCCTATTTTCATTACATTGCTTTTTGACGTCTGTTTGTTTTAATTCATCTATTACCGTTGCTATTTTTCATGTATTTAGATATATAAGGAAACATAGACATGCACTTAATACAGGAATGCGTATACACCAGTGTCTCACAGTATCAGTATCTAGTATTGTAAACACTCCCTGGCTCAGGCTTACTTTTCCCTCACTGCTCTGCATCCTCTCTAATGACCAAACTCAGCAGAGGGAGGGCTCTGCTGCACTAACAGTAACCCTCATGTCACAAAGAGGCAGAAAGAATGGCTCCCCTAATACTCTTCCTCTCCTTAATCTGCCTGTTCCTGTCTACCAAAGAGATGAAGGCGACGACAGAGAAGTTGGACGGCAGCCAGAGAGAAATAAATGGGTGTACAAGGTTGCATGGAGTAGATAAAGTGCAGCGAGGAAAGAAATGTTGTGTAAGGGTATGTGTGAATCTGAGAGGGAGACAAAAGGCATACACACAGGGAGAGAGAGGAAGCCATGCATCATCTTCATCTGTCTGAATGATTTCCTTAACCCCCTGTCTTTGCCAGTCAGACCCTCAGGATCTCTATATGGGGGTTAAACAGGGATTTAGCAAGAGCTGAAGCTGCCCTCAAATACGGTGAGTTCTCACTTCCTCTCTAAAGGGCTCGCCTCTCCCAAACACTTTATCTGTAAGATTTATATTCAACTGCTGACTGTGACCATCTACCCATCTTACCAAATCATAAAACCATAGAGTGTTTCTGTATTCAGACAAGGTGCACCTCTTAAGCCCCACGGACCCGGTTCCGGGGCCGAAATCGCGTCATTTGCAG